TAGAAGCTGTAGATTTACATGGTGCAGAGCGTTTCAGTTCAGGTCAGGTGATCCAAACCCCCCCGCAGTAGTGTGTCAGTTGAGTCCATTTGTGTGTCTGAATCTGACCAGAGAGATAATACTGCTCCATCTGAATTGGTTTTAAGGCACAGAAGTCCCTGAGTACAAAGACAATCTCCTAACACTCCTCTAGTAATAACATTGTGTTTTGGCCCAGACTGAATGATTTCATCAGCAGCAGCGGCCTGATTGGATGCACCATCGTCCTGCCGTCTATATGGCAAAACTCGTCTTTTTTACATCTCTGAATATTTAACGTGGGTGAGCCTGAGCTGAGAAGAGGCTGAGACAGGAGTGGGTCCTGAATGCAGCTCGGCTGGAGGGGCTGCGGCTGTTTGTGTCGTCATGACTGGTCGCACAACAGGAAACATACTGTTTTGAATTGTGCATCATGTAGAGATGGAGCCTGATGAGTCACAGGGGATCAGTGGGTGATCAAAAAAGTCACAAAAGTCTTTGTGGTTCATTTCCTTTATGTAAATGAAATGGATGGGGGGGTCGATACTAGTCATCTCTGTGTTTAAAACAACTGCCACTCACAGTTAGCTGATGGATTCTATTTGTTTAGTTCAAAATTTAAAAGAAAATTGATCAGGTTGGCAGAGGAAACACGGGGGTGGACTGTGGACTAGTCACTTCCTGTTTGGAGTGCATCAGTCCTACTCATTAAGCCTATGGTGGTCTCGCTAACTTTTATACCTCTGTAAAGGATCTTGACCTCCCCCGTCTCCCTCTCTCTCCTCTGTTCCTCCCTCTGTGTCTTGTCACGCAGCTGAATCACATGACCCCTGGCCTCAGCACCGCTGTATCCTCCGATGTGCCTGGACATCAATAATAAACGATGCAAACTCACAGTTCAGTTGTCATGCAGCAGGCAAAACTTTCGATGCAGAAATAGATTTTCTTCCGCTGCAGGTGGAAGTGAAAATGTCCTCTCACGCAAATGAGCTAAATCTGCAAATATGGACCATTTAGATGCAGGAAGGTGTGTGCAGGCAATTGGAACCTGATTGGATTGTTTCAGGCTACAAATCAACAGGACGCTCTGTTTTCTCAGGCGCTGCAGTGGCACAGAGACAGTCTGTTACCACTGCATAGGTTTTTAGATGCAGACATATTAGCAGAGGTCTGTTTTGATGGAGGTAAGAGGCTAATGACGGAGACAGATGACTGGGGTTGGTGCTCGAGGCTGGAGCATCACGGCGGCTACAATTATGACCCCCGGTCTTTTTCCAGTCTGCTGACTCTGCGGCCCCTCCCTCGTCCAAGGCTGCAGTGCTGACAAAAAATCATTTCTGTGAACTTCATCACAGTCTTTTTTTTATGTTTGTTCGTTTGGGTTTTTTTTTTGTTTCTCTACATTCACTCAGTCACTCACCCTCTTTGTCTTTCTGTGTCTGACTTTGTCTCCTCACTGCACACGACATGGTAGTATGATGAGCACATTGTGGACATCCTAAATTGTCCCCTGACAGTAAGTGCACCCTTGATTAGCACCCTCTCTAGTTTGCATCCTAGACGACCATAGTTAGTGCATTTAGTCTTCCCTTTTTTTTAAGATTGATTTCTCCATTGGGATGGCTTCTATGATATATACCGCCCCCTGGCTGAACACTGTTTTGGTTTCTGCCTGTTTCATTTATTTATTTATTTATCCCCCCCACGAAGAACACATTTATTGGTCATATTGCCTCCCTCTCGCTCTCATTTCTTCTGTTTGTTCTCTCACCGTCTCTTCTGCCTATAAACATATTTATAACACTGGCCTTTTCCTTCTTCCTCTACAGGAGATGGCCCACATTCTCGCCCAGAAACAGCTGCGCTCCATCATTCTCACTGTGAGTCCAAATCTTCTTCCCTCCATTTTTTCTCTCTGTTTTTTTCTTCTGCTGCTCCACTGTTATATTTTCCCTAATTTGTTTTTCTGAATCTCTGTCTCGCCTTTATGACCTCAATACTCATCTCCTTCCCCCGACACCTCTGTGGCGCTCCTGCTCCTGCTCCTGCTCCTCCCTCTCCCTCTGTCCCCCCTTCTCTCCTCCATCCATCTTTCCTTCCTGCTGTGCAGAATGTGATCCGGAGCACGATACCCATCAACGATGAGATGGCCCACCAGCTGTACGTGCTGCAGGTGCTGACCTTCAACCTGCTGGAAGACCGCATGATGACAAAGATGGACCCTCAGGACCAGGTGGGGACTCTGGACAAGGAGGGAGACTTTTGGGATTTTTTTTTTTTTAAGATGTCGGAGTTGTTAACTGAGGGGAAAATGCTGAAAATGTGGAAAAGTCAGTTGTAAGTACAGTGGGGCTTCAAGATACCAGTCTAATCTGTTTTACAACGACACTCATATGTCGATTGCATTTTCCCAGTAAAAATATCTGTAAACCAATTCATTAGTTCCAACTCCCCAGAAATATACTATTAATTAATTTAATTATCCCCCCATCTAGACATCAATAGCAACAATATAAAAAAAGAATTGATTATATAAAATAATTATAATTAAATGGTTATGAAAATGGGTAAAATAACCCATCGAGGGACAGAGATGTCGGGGCCATTAAAGTAGGAGAAGGGCCGGGAGTGAGGACATGTTTAAGGTGATTGTTTAGTGAGTTAGTTATCATCAGTGAACTGAGCTCCATATATATTCATCACTGTATAAATAAAGTGACTAATTTGATTTGAAAACAAATGACCAAATTCACGGTGCATTTGACATCGGTGTTTTCACCATAAATATTTAACAAACTTGATTTATTTCATTCTAACATATAAGTCTAACCCTGGTGGTAAATACAAGCAGATCCAGAGTGTTTGCTGTCAGAACAGGTTCCTCCTCCCCAGCAGGACTCCTCAGTCTGCTATACTGTACTGTAGCCACTGGCCGTAAACATTTATTAATCTTTCAGTCCAAAGCCCTGGGGCCGTTCTGGCCTGGTGTGGACAGATTTCTACAAAGAAAGTATTGTTGTATTTTTATTTATTTATTTTTTTACTACAAGTACTATGAAGTATGAGTACACTTGTCCAGAGTGCCCCAGGGCACTGTAAGTCTGCAGACAGTAAAGATGAGGTGGAGGAATCCTGAAGTTTATTTGGTAGTAAATGAGGGGAAAGAAAAGAGAGAAACATGAGCAGCAGTTCACGTGACCGTCTCTGCTCCCTCAGGCTCAGAGAGACATCATCTTCGAGCTGCGGAGAATCGCTTTCGACGTGGAGTGTGAGCCCAACAACAGTGGCAGCATGGAGAAACGCAAGTCCATGTACACCCGCGACTACAAGAAGCTGGGCTTCATTGTGAGTGTGAATTAAAGGCGAGGACAGAAATGATGACTCCTCTTAAAACACACATACACACACACACACACACAGGACTCCAGACTGGGATCAGACAGGCAAACATAAACCAGCCTGTCCTCAGGGGACAGGTGTTAATTGGACATGGTTGTCCTTCACATCAACATCAGCACATTAAAGTGTGTGTGTGAACGTGGCGGGGCATGAAAATGTTCTCCTTCTTCCCATCTTGTCATACTGAGTTCATCCTCCAGTTGTTTTAAACCCCTGTCCCCTTGTGGTGTGTGAACATGTATGTGTGTATGCTAGCCTGCTCTAACTATAGCATTGGTCGAACACCAAAGTCACTGCAGTGTGTTCAGTGAAGATAAAGCATCTTGGACATCGTCCTCTGCAGTAGTGTGGACCAGTCCAACACCCCCAGCCTCAGCCCGTCTCCCCCTGCTGGACTTGGAGGAGATCTGTCACTGCTGAGCTTCACAGAGCTGTTGTGTTCCTAAAATAGCTGTTGTTGCACAGAGTGGAATATCTGTCACTGGTCCATATAAAATAAGATATGCATGTGTCTGAGTGCCTGTTCCTGATGACATTTATACCAGTGTTCTCCTCTTTTATCTGAGCATTTGCTTCTTCTCCTCCTCCTCTTCCTCCTCCACCTGCTTCTATTCCTGTTCCTGCATTCATTTTCCAACATCCTGTCTCCCCTTCCATTCCTCAGGTACACAGAAGCCACTGATGTTCTGTGCTCACGTAGCCGTGCTTTTAGACTTAGTACTTTAGTACTAATACTGCAGTACTTACCGTCATAATAAAACTGTGTTTTACTGTTTCCTTTTTTAACTGTTTTATTCACATTTGGCCAATAGTATTGTTAGCTGACTATTGTTTTAGTTCTTTAATCTAAAGAGCAGAGAAATAAACATTTTTATTCTGAGAGAATCGTGTTTGGCGAAGATGTGGAACGCAGTTCCTAAAAGAGGCCTTGGTTAGTGTCTGATGAAAAGCCAAATTTTAGATCTAATTACCTGCATCGTCCAGGATTAGTAATCAGTTGATTTAATTGTCAACATCCTTAGATACGTATCTGAAACAGGCACCGATATTGTAATTTTTATTCTGAGGGCTAACTCTACCGCCCCTTCAGTAAATGGTACCAAAATCTGTGATTGGCTTAGAAGAAAGGCATGGATGTGAGCTTCATCTTGTCATGATATCCTAACTGTTAACACATGTTTTAACAGAAAGAACAGCATCTGGTGATAGCACCACCCTGTGTGTTGTAATGTTAAAAACTGCAGTACTTGTCCCTCTCTCATCTGTCTGTCTTCGTCTCTCAGAACCACGTGAATCCAGCTGTGGACTTCACCCAGATTCCTCCAGGAATGTTGGCTCTCGACAACATGCTGTACTTCGCCAGACATCACCAGGACGCGTACATCCGGGTATGAATACACAGAAAGTATCACACTGGTACAAATGTGTACCAATCAACTCTGTTTCTTCTGTCCTGTTTATCGTGCGTGGCCTGAGACAGAATGATAGTGGACAGATTTTACACTCAAATGTCCACTCTCTTAATCACATTTATTTGAGGAATGAAAAAGAAAAAAGAAAATATTTGGGCGTTTGCCCGACAACTCTGGTGTCTGGATTTGAGATTGTGAAGAGAGTTGTTTTTATTATTGCAGCCTCAGCTCTGTCACTTGACCAGAGGGAGGCTTACATTTCCCAGATTAAACTCTTGTGAGCCAGACTGATTGGGAGAACGTTGGTCTAATTTAGGAAACACTGCAGACATCCACTTAATTAGCAGAGCAAAGTCGTCATCTGAAAATCTCACCTGTTAATCAGACCGCCCCGGGGTGTTGATGATTTAATTAATAACTCTCTTTTTTTACCATTATGGTAATAATGTGTCTCCATGAGTACCAACCATCATGAGACATAAGTCCCAGGGCAAAAAGAACTGTGAAGGAGACGAAGACACGTGTTGTCACCTGGAGTGAAAAGACTTTCCACTGGAATGTTTTTACAAAAAATAGAGTTCTCTGCTGGGAAACTGTTGCAGCAGTGTTGACCTCTCATTTGTGTTGATTTCCAGATCGTCCTGGAGAACAGCAGTCGAGAAGACAAGCACGAGTGTCCGTTTGGCCGCAGCAGCATCGAGCTGACCAAGATGCTGTGTGAGATCCTCAAAGTGGGCGAGCTCCGTAAGTCCTTCCTCTTTCAGCTTGTCTTCAAAACAAACACTTAGAGTAGATCCTGTCCTGTGTACATTATTTAGTGACCCCCCCCCACCCCACACCATACTGATGTGCCGTTCTCACTTGTTTTTATGCTTTTAAATGTGCGAGTGGGTCTCAGTGGGACTCCAGACTGACCCCCCGCCATGACTAGTGTGGGCGACAGGGATAAAAGGAGTGAGGAGTTGGTTCATTAAAACACTAAAAAATGTCTGTCATTCCTCATAGGAAAACTGGACTTGGCCTCAGTGTTCCACTAAGGTTTAAATATTTACTCAGTTAATTAAAGTGTCACCTTTGGATTTTAATTTTGACATCACTCCAAACCGCCGTCACATTTTAATCTTGCCCGCCCCAGGGGTGCTGGCACCACACTTTGGAATCCCTGTCCTAGATTATGACTTTACCAGTGTGTTAGCATAGATGAGTGACATCGGTGCTTATGTACAGTAAGTAAGTACGGTGTTACATCACTCTCTACATCAGAACTGAATTCTGATGTTTTTGCGAGGATCTTCTGTCTTTTGGTGAAAATTACTACCAAGATGTGATTTACGTACGTCGCCACCGATACAAATTCTGCTCTTTTTTTGGACTTTTTGAAAACCATCCAGTTCCATGATGGTAAATTTAACCCTCTGTACTTTTTTTTTTCACCATTCTGTTATGACACTGAAATTTCCCCACAGACCAGGAAGCATCAGTTGAATCATGGCTGTGACCTTGACTCACAGCTCCGGGCCGCTCTGGTCCCAGCGGTCCATGTATAATGTCACTGTTGCCACTGTTGGAGCTGCTATTAATAGGCCTGATGTGATATAGTGTATATGTTGTGATGCAGTAAATGGGAGAACAGGTATAAATTGTTATGGTGAACCTGTGTACAGATCCTCCCACAGCACTGGTGGGGACACCTGCTCTATACATGTCAGGGTTCCTGCAGAAGTAGGTCGAGCCTCCGCACGTACTGTAGTAACAGCAGGTACATGTAACGTAAAGGTAAAGAAGGACCGTGTGTTGATATATTTGTACTGACTCTGCCCCAAATCCTCACACTTTCATCCATCTCCGCTGCAGCTTCCAGTAAATATTTGCACAAGCTCACAGTCACTAAGCATTAAAGTCTCATATGTCCCGCAGTAGTCGTAATCCGCACTGCGTCTTTCCTCCATTGTGCCCAGCTAAACGCATTTTCATGCACGCCCCATTAGCCCCTGCACTGAATTAACACACGCTAATGAATATGAGAGCGGGATGGATGGGACATGGGCCGGGCAGGTGTTGTAAATGCCTCATGAAAAATGGTCGGTCATTAGAGGGGATTGTACGTGTGCGATGTTAGGTCCGTGAGCGTGCACGTCCCTGGGGGGAGCGGGCGAAGGAATGAGTCTGAGCTCAGCACCGCCCGCCGTTACTGGCTTGACCTTTCGGCAGAGAAACAATGAAATACCTGACACTAATGAGGATGTTGCGGGGAGTGTCTGAGGCTCTGAAACGTTTTATCAGTGTTGATAGCCTGGTATTTGAGTCAGAGTATTATTAGAAACTGTAGTGCATTATTTTTTCCCCCTAACTGAAAATATAGCACTGGCATTTAAACAGGTTCTTTTTCTTCACTTCCACAATTTCGCCTCAGCCAATCGCCAGATAAAGGGCAGAATTTCTTTTGTTTTTTTTTTATGATTTCTTGCAGGATGCTGTCAGTCAGTCAGACTCTAGTTCAGATATGACATATTTACAACCCAATAACATTGACTTGGTCTAATCTATTTCATTAAATCAAACAAAACACATTAGCTGTAGTATCAACTGTTTTATATTGTTAGTTCTCGACTAATTAATCAATTAACCTATTGTTACAGGGCTACATCAGGATAAAACAATGTTATAATGTTCAGTTAAGTTCACATCATTTTGATTTAGTCTTTGTTCCTATTTAGTCACTGGAACTGTGTAAAATTTAGGGTTTTTTTATACGAAGATATCAACTTCAATCGACTAAATTTAAATTAGATTCATCTTAGAAAACTAAGTCGTTGACTAAGTCAGAAAATTGACTATTTTAACGCAGGTCAGGTAAACCAAGTCAGTTCAGTTCTCTGCCAGCGGCTCCGTCGCCGTTTTAGATGAACAAAGTTTTTTCCTCATTCACATCGTTGTCACTTTGAGAAATTCTCTTTCATCCAAATGTTATTATGCACAGTCCGTCTGCAGGGAAGAGCTGAGGGAGCTTTTTTTAGTTGAATCAGCTGTCAGTGCCGTTCAATCTTACATAATTCAAATCTGTAACCGTATGTCACTCTGCCCCACGCTTACCCTCTTCCATTTATTCTCAGCTCTTTTATTTTCCCTTTTCCACTCGCATTTGTTGATTCCCTGCATTAGATTTTAAAAGATTAATTACCCCCCTCCCTCACTGCCTGTGATGCGGCTGGAACATGGGGCTTAATGGAATCCTCATCTGAGATATGACTTCCCTGACTCTCCTCCTTAAGTCACCAAATGAAATATTTATGAAGTTATTTAAAGAGGTGCAGGCGTTCGGAGTGATGGTCTCGTCTGGTAATTCATGGTCTGACGTCTTGTTGCTCAGATAAAGAGTCAGGGCTTCACCATGTGGGCTTGAAATAAATCACATGCCAGTGCAGGCTGGTCACATGATCACCTTACATTTGTACACCGCCCCTCCATTACTGACCAATCAGCCCAGGTCAGAACAAAAGGCCATGTTCAGCACCATGGACAGTTCTGTTTACGAACTATTTAGAATTATATTGGAGGATACATTTATATATATACAGTATATATATACTGTATGTATATATATATATATTATAAATAAATATTATCTTATGAAGGTGAAGGGCTAACCCCGTTTATGTAAATACAATTGCAATGTGATTTTAAATATTCAAAACCTTAAGGACAGATCCGTTGTGTTCTCCAGTATAAATATTTATTGTCGTTCATGGTGTTTCCTATATTATTTAAGAGCACATCAGAGAGGATCGAATGTAAATATGCCGTCATTACCCTGAGCTGAACCTGAGCACAGACGCTGTTCCCAGGTCACAGTTTGTCTCCGTTAATCGCTCTTCACAGTCTCCCTCTCTGAGCCCTGTGTAAAGAGGATGAAGTGGAGTGGAGCAAAAACACCGAGTGTAAAATCTCAAGTGTGGCTCAAGTCGTGACACCGACGTCTGTTTGTTGTTCAGCAGCCTCTTTACACACTCGTCACTTTTGGCCCCGTGTTTAAGACACAAAGCATTGGTTTGGATTTGTTTCTCTCTGTAGCCTTAGGCGTACATCGAATTGCAGTCCGCAAATAACAAAAAAGTCGGCAGATGTTTTGCTCCAAATTCCCTCTAAAAAGTCAGGGCGTCCTTGATGTTGATGTTTGTCAGACTCCGTTCCCCTGACACTTCTCAGCAGCCTTTATAATGGATTAAGGCAGTGTGATAGATGGAATACAGGCTGCTTAATGGCAGGCCTGCCACTCTCATTTAAATCAAACTACTACGGACTAATAAACAAATCAGTTTCATTTATATTGTCACCCGGATGGGGGAATCAGAGCACGTGGCAACAATGTTTGACACTAAATATAGAAAACCGTGTAAATATTGATTTACCCTAAAGAATGTTTATGTTTAAAATTGCAAATGAGATTTATGTGCATAAATAGGCTGCAGGGCATGTAAGTGTGTTTAAAAAACAAAACAAAAAAAGATCTCAGGGTGAATTTGAGGAAACTGAGCCGTGACTGATATTAATTCTTTTCTAAGGTATAATGTTTCCTATCCAACCCTGGGCAGCTGTGATTCAATCACCTGCATCAGGCAACATGAAGAAGATTCGTATTGCATTGGTGAGAATGTAAGACAAGTGTTGAAATCGTGTTAAATCTGTTGGAGAGCTTTGATGGATTCATGGCTGGTCCGTCTGCAGGCGGCGTTGACTGTAGACCAGGGCGTTTGTACAGCATCTGTCGTTCACTTTCTATGAAACGGTGATGCACATTTCCATCACAGTAAAAGTACTGTGGAACAAAAGCACAACAAAAGTGTTATTATGTTTGACCTATAATGTTTATTTCCACAAACTGTTATGTCTTAGTATTGATGTATTTATACATATTTATTTAGTTTGCAGTAGAACCTTAAGTTGCTAATTTGGCCATTTCTTTCATCGGGCAAAAGAAGAAAAGACTAAAAAGGTTTTGGTTGAGGGTTTTTTTTTGTGTGTTCTGGTCATTCATCAGTTATCAAACTACAGGTTTAATCTTTCAGATGCTGGCATGAATGTTGGGTTTGGTGTTTAGGTGATAATTTATTTGTCTCAATTGTCTCTCATTGGTTGAGACAATTGACGAGGCTAACCCCAAGTCATTAATAATCAATAATCTCATAAACAACAGTTTTGAACTGTCACTCAAAATAATGAAAAAATGCTAAAAGTTTAGCATTTGTTGATTTTTATGTTGAGACAGTAATGTTATATGTAGTTTTTTTATATACATAAAATTATCAGTACTCTCAGACTTAAACCAAAAACAGTCTTAGTCGGCACTTCTCCCACTCTGGTGCCGTGGTCCTTCTGCTGCAGCACAGTCATTCTGCTAACTCACGCAGGAAAGACATTCTTTGCATTTCTGTGTACCTGCTGCCCTGGCATCCTGCTAACACGCAGGCCAGCAGTGACTTAGCTGAAAAATTACTGCTGACACCGTTGGCGTTTTTACAGTACAAACACACACACACACTGGTGTTTATAACTTTGTTCAAAAACTTTTAAATACCTCCCTTGAACCTTGAGTGTAGCCTTGACCCTAACCTCCACCGTCGCCTGTTGTGACGACTTGGCCAAATGGCCTCTCTTTCCAAATGTGTCCTCACACCGTCAGGTGTTCAGCTCCAGCCGGTTCTCACAGGTATATAAATACACCGGCACACACTCCCCGCTGTCACAGTCGGCCGTCAGGGCATGCTGCTATTGTAATTAGACTGAGGATGACACATTTCACTGTGCATTCATCATGTGCTGTAGCTGCAAGGTGTTTCAGAGGGCTGTTTCAAACATTTCACACACACACACACACACACACACAGTGAACCTTGACAGATGTCAGGGTGGCATTCAGCCCACACGTCTCTCATCTTTCACTCATACACAAAGGAGCTTAAACTGGCACACAGCTGCATACAGACACAAACAGTGTTTTGTTTTTTTTTCCTGCACATGCTTAGTCACCTCACTCGTGCCCGGGACTCGTCTGTGCCGTGGCCAGTTGAGTAATTAGCTCCCTGTTGACGTCACCGTGCCCCCAGAGAGCCCACGACCGACAGACTCGGAGTGGAGCATGAAGGGCGACAGCTGCCCCCCCACCCACGCCCACCACTTCTCCCCCCCTTCCGCCCTGTCACACTAGTCCCCAGCGTCTGTGTTAAAATTAAAAAAAGTTACACACCTACCCAGTGAAGATTACAGCAAAGGCTAACGTTAGCTCAGCTACACGCTAAAGCATGAAGGACAGAGCTGCCTGTTGTTTATAATGATAGATACCAACTACAGGTTCATCTGTACTGCTGATTTTAATCTACACGTAGGAAACACTGCTGTGTGTAAACTCGGTGGCGTGCATTTAATTTCATGCTGCAAAAGCTGAAAAATTGTTGGGAAATAATGCTGTAATAAAGTGAATTGACAAAACTTTAATCTAATTATTCTCAAGCCAACATCTGCCGGTACCAGATGCTCTCATGTGACTTTTTCACCCTCGTTAAATATTGTGCCAGTGAAGAAACTGAGATTGACGTTTCTCCTCCACATTTTTTCCCTTCCGACAAATGTAAAGTGACCAAATAAAGACGTGGTGAAGTGACATTAGTTCCCAGGCTGCTGGACTTCAGTGGACTTATCCTGATGCCACATCATTTCTCTGTTCTCTTTATCGTTTTGTAAAAGTCCATGTGGCCGATGTGGACATATGGTCCGGGACAATTTAAACTGGTCATCACAGTGTCCTGTTACCACATCATGGGCTGCGCCCGCTTTGAACATCTGGCCACACAGATGGACGAAAGGCTTTCAGGACAAAGAGAAGTAATTGTAGCTGGTGTTCTGTCCGTTTGGACCTGGTGCCGTGGACCAGTGTTCTCAGTCCAAACAAGCCATAAATTCTGACTTAGATTGAGAGGCAGTTCATATCCACCCCGCTGCCACGTCGTTCAGCTACAGGCAGGAGTCGTGTGTGTGTCTGTGTGTGTGTGTGTGAGACTTTGTGACTCATCCATCATTGTGTCGTTCTCCTCATGCTCTTGATGTGTCCACTTGTCCACACGACCTCTACGACCAGAATAGGACGCCTGTGGGAAATGGCTGTAACTCAAAAACAAGTTTTAACACGACCGGTTTCGGCTGGTTGAATCCAGTGAGTCTTTTACTGTTTATGGAAAGTGCTTCGTGTAGCCTTTGGTAGTTCTGAATATCCAAGTTAGTTGTGGCCTAGTTGTCAGAGGATTGCAGGTTTGATTCCCAGCTGTGACAGGGCAGTGGTGTGCACCGTAAACATCCACAGTCCGTGGAGCAGTGAAATGCAACCCGCTGCTCCTGTGTAGTGAAGTGCAGAGGAAGTAATCAGTCGTGTGTGTGTGTGTGTGTGTATCAGCAGCATCTGTTATCATCAAGAAGCATGAATTAGTACCCAATGTCATTTGTTGTAGTTTTTTCTATTACATTTGAGCATTGACTGATTGTGTTTAATGTAGGACACTCAAATTATTATTAGAATTATTTAAAAAAATATTCTGAAGTAAAATTAATTCATTATTAATTGTAAGTAATCACAATTTAATTAAAAAAAATCAGATAAAAAATTCATAAACCAATATTCCTTAGAGTTTTCTGTATATTGCTGGAGCAGAAAGACATAAACGCAGCAGATAGACGTGTGTGTTTCACACTTGTTTTTATTTTTGACCATTTGAAATGATGGAATTATTCATTCAAAATGTCTAAAATATAAAAGCCAGACACTGAACTAATGTTTTTGGTCTGCTATTTTCACATTTGGAGTACTTTTACAGAGATCCAAATGAATACCTAAGGCGTAGTAAAATACACAGTAGTACGGTCTGCTGGTACTACTTTGATCTGTTCACTTCAGTGCCTTTTGAGATGGAGATGACAGTAACGATGAAGTACTGACTCCCAGGCTGTTTACATCCAACACCATCAAACACTTCAGACAAACTCCTGCAGGGGTAAATGAAAAATGTGACTCGTCCTAAAATCTACACTGTTAAAATATAACCAGTGAAAAGTACAATACACCATGTTGTGTTGGAGTTGAGTTTCCAGGACAAATTCTTCCTGTACTGAATTGTATCTGTTTGATGAGATAGACCATTATTTAAACTTCCTACCGTACCATAATATACGCGGTGCTGTGCAGTAACTAAAAATAATAAGCATGCAAACATGGACAAACCTGCCTACTAACACTGAGGACAACAAGAACACAAACACAGCAGAAATGTAAAGTAAACACAAAAAGTAGGTGAACAACGGCAAATAAAACCAAGGCAGTAAAAGAGAGAACGCAGGTAAAATAAGGTAAAAAGACAAAAAGTACAGGTAAATAAAACCAAGATAGTGAAAATACACACAGGTAAAATTGAATACGAGATGACTTTTACAAGCTTTTTTTTTAGTTTTTTACTGTGGGTCAAAGTTAAAACAAACACTATAAATGTCAACTCTTGGTCTAAATCAATTGCAACATGTGTATCTGGCCATCAACAACTGATTTTTTTTTTCCCCTCCTCATCACTGTGAAGCCCCAGGACCTGCTGAGCCCCGTGAGAGCTAATAAAACTGTCTACAGCTCAGCAGGTTCAGGAAAACCTCCGGAAGAAGAAATTTCTGCAGAGCCACACGGGGCGGCTCACTGTCCGTGTCTCCCAAATAAGCCTTGACATGTAATTCCACTCACCTTGCCGAGTCAGGGAGCTCTCCATCAGTAAACAGTCCATTTAGCTCGGAGGTCGCGCCAAACTTTAAACTTCACAACAACTTTGGTGAAGTTGGTGGAAAAAAAGGGTGGTTTTGACTGAGGAAGAAGAAGAAGTTTTGTCTTAATTCATCCTCTGTGAACTCCCCCTCTGTTCCCACCCCTGAGTACTCCTCACCCTTGGCCCAGCAGCCAGTCAGCGTCTGTTTTGACTCACCTCCTTAGTGTTCTGATTGACTGCCGGCACTGGTGGTACCACATCTCTCCAGGTTTTACCACCTCGCCCTCCTCTTAATCTCCCGTCCGTCGCTCTGAATCAATGCCCAGGTCGTCTGCGGTCATCACTGATTACGCTGTGAAGTTTCCACTGCTGTCTGACCACCGCCATCCAATTCCGTTGGCCGCTCATGGTGATCAATTTCCCCAGCCATGTTCTCTTTAACGAACGACTTGACGGCCGCGTCACAGTGAGAGGAACGGGGGGACAAATTTAGATCCAACAAATGTCAAGCTCGGTTACCTCACGTCCTGGTTAATGTGGTTTGGTCGCTGCCTTTCTCTCTCTCCTTTCATTGGCATTTCAGACACACCTGAACAGAAGTAGCAGGGATTGAAATGACTGTGACATTACAAAATGAGAAATCTCACTCTAATCTGGTTGGAGAAGTCTTCGCTGGTCCAGATCTGTCTCCGAGGAACAATTTGTGGTTAAAGTAAAACGAAGTAAAAACTTTTCCTGGAACTGCTCATATATTTAATACAGCGTCCTTTATAATAACGTCTTAGAGTACGCCATCTCTCTAATTGTCTATTGCAGTTATTTAATTTCTTTTTACAGTCTTAAAAAATTCCGCTCTGTTACCTGCTGAAAAATTGATTCATTATTTTAAATTACCTCGGTGTTTTTTTTTTTTTTTTTACAATCTGACACAATCTTGATTTACTGTATCTCTCTTCTACTGAAGCCCTGGACTTGGGGCCTGACCTGGACAAGAGCAGACATAAAATGTAAAATCAATATTTGGAACTGAGTCTCAGCTTGGCTTTTCTTTTGATTCAGTCACTTGAGATCAGACCTAAAATCCTGGGTCTTAAACTTTTCCTCCGTAACTTTGGCTTGAAAATATGGGAGATAAATACTTGAAAATGGACTTCAACTCAAGTCTTTTTTTTTTCCAATTCTGACCCCTGGATCAGACAGTAAAACAAATCCAGAAATGTTTGTTTTTTTCTATGTTAAATATTCTGTCAACACAGTTTTGATTCTCCCTTTCTCATTGGTTCATATCACTTCATATCAATCCTAGTGGTTCTAAACTGCAGGTACACGGCTCCAGGTGTGGATAACATCTGTGTGTGTTTTTTTGTTTACAGCCAGTGAAAACTGTCACGACTTCCACCCCATGTTCTTCACCCACGATCGCTCCTTCGAGGAGTTCTTCTGCATCTCCATCCAGCTGCTCAACAAGACCTGGAAGGAGATGAGAGCCACCAGTGAAGACTTCAACAAGGTAACCCTGTCACTCCAACACACCTTTTTCTGTTTCTGCTCCTTTGAATCAGTGGTTGATTTTGAAGTGGATTCTTAATGTTAATATGTAGTAATGTATAATGTGTGGCTCAGTTCCCACGCACATCACACCAGTGTGATCTCCTCAGTGTGTGTGGGAGGATAATGAGATGTGTCCAGGATAATATCAGGGGCATCCACATCACAACAGAAGTGAACAGAGAGTTCAGAAAAGACAAACATGAAATCTTCTCTAGGCTCCTTTTACATCCCAGAGCAGTGATTATCAAACGGTGGCCTCCAGGTCATATCTGGACCGCCGGATACTGGAAATGTCTGATCTCACCCACGACTAGATTTCATATATAACCATCAAATAATAATGTGAATTTTCAGACAAAAATGGGATTTTTATTTTATTTTATTTGAATGTTTAGTTGAGTGTCCAGAGAAATATTCTAGCCCTCGACGAATATAGTTGGCGACTCCTGTTTTGGGGCATGTTTCTTGGCACATTGTCTCCCAGCGTGTGGATTTTGAATGGCTGTAGGGTTGAAGGTACTGAACTCACGATTGTGCTTTACTGCAGTTTTTTTTTTTAACACATGCATTGAACATGGTGATCTTGGTGATAAAATCTTGTTCATTAACACATGCATTGAACATGGTGATCTTAGTGATAAAATCTTAAATCTTAAATTACTGCTTAAATACTAGCAACAACTCCAAACAAAGCCGAATCGATGATGCTCCATGTCCCCCGTCAGGTGGAGCACAGAGAGTATGAAATTCAGCAGCAGCTCATCGATAGCAGCTCTACTTGGTCTCAAGGGCTCTCTATCAGCTAAATGGTGCGTGTGCAGTTCTGAGTTTCCAGCCGCAAATACTGCTGAGATACAATTTCCCAGCGATATAACGTTAGAAAACACTCTGGAGACGTTAGCTCCTGAAAAAGTAGTCATTTTTTCCCCTATAATTCACACCCTTTTGTTCCTCCTAAACCTAACCAGCCAAACCTTGTTGATTAAAACAGACAGATAAGGAAATAATACTAAAAAACATCATATTTGAAGGCTTAGTGGAGTCACTACGTAAATGATCGACCAAATATGGGTCCATAAATCCACTGACTGAATCAGAGCGAGCTCTTTTTTCTGCGCCTTCTCATATTTCTGTTACATTAGGAGTCAGAGAACTAAAAGCAAATCAATAATTCAGACTACAGTCCTTCAGAATAGTAAACAAACCCACCGTCAACAACATTACAGTTTTCTTTGTTGCAAATACTGTACAAAATAATCAAGATATTGTGTTTATAATAAGATTATATGATATTAACAACTAGAAATGCACACACACATGTTTGGCTTTGGTTACAGTAACGACACTCTCCTGTGAGACCTCTTGTCAGACAAGTCTTTTTTGAAAGAGAAATATCAACAGTATGATGCTACAATAAATACCTCAAATCTAATGGGTTTCATGTGTTAGCCTTGTCGTCACTTAATGGTTTCCATGCTGTAAAAGAGGAAACCTCCCCTCAGGGCTTTGTTGGAGGATAATGAGCTGTGTCTAGGATAACACAGAGGGCACACGCTTTAAAATAGAAGCATGTGGCCGTGCTGGCTGTCTGATACTGTATATGAGGCTGTGAGCTTTCTGAGGTGAAGAATACTGAAGTGCCCTGTCCAGGCTGCATCAGTGAGAATGCCGTGTTCCCCTCGGAGTGAGTGTATGTGCCGTGCATACACAAAACCCATGGACACACACACTAGATCTACACCACTATTAATGACAAAAGATTCATCGATGTGAGACGTACTCATCCTCTCCAGCCAACACACACACACTTTGGCCCCTATTCAAATTCTGCCTTTTTTTAATGTATAAAAGGTTATAGAGAACGAGGCGACGTGTGTGTGTGTGTGTTCTGTGGATACCCATTATGTAGAGTGTTGGTGTGTGTGCGTTTAATGGAGGCAAGTGTGGTGCTCCCAGGCCATGATGCAGGCAACCATTTTCCCCTGTTTCCTGTTTCCATGGCAACCACCGTCCAATTACGGCTGCCGTGCTGCACTACTCTGGATTTGTAACTGTGTGATGGCTCCTCTCCCCGGCTGCATGTGGGCACCGTTGTGTTTATTTGCGTCAGTCGGTCGGTGGCTGAGTCCCGTGCAGCTGCGCGTCCCTAAAAACATCTGTGCTCCTCCTCCTCCCTCTCCCTCTTTGCCCTGTTTTACCCCACAGGAGAAAAACAAAAGCCTCAGAAAAACAACTGAAGCCAACGTAGCTGCGCTCCCCTCCTCCTCCCCCTGCTCCTCCTCCTTCTTCTTCTCCTGTTCTATCATCTTTCCTTCCCTCCCCCTACATATAAATCTCTCTCTCTCTCTCTCTCTCTCTCTCTCTTTCTCTCTTTCTCTCTCTCTCTGACTCTCTTTCTTTCTCCCACACACAACTACACACCTACCATGTGATCTACTTGCTGCACCACCATTGGTGTCTCTAATCGTGGCGTGTGTCCAATCAGGGCTTAAGCCCTGAGATCAACATAAGCGGAGCAGAGCAGCCTGGCTGATGCTTAGAGTCACAACCGGGGGAGAAGTGCAGGTGGAGAGACATATAATTGTCTCATCAGAGACAGTTGTGTTTCCATAAGATTGTAGTTACTTCATGAGGAGCAGTTGTTGAAATAGATTATTGGGAGTAGTAAGGAGCGGCAACAGGATCCGACAGAGAAGCCAAAGGAAGGAGGTGAAGAACAGGATGAGTCTCTCCAGAAGTTAACTGTCCACGCTCAACCGACTGTCCTCCCAAGGAGCCATCTGCTCCCTCCTTTCATCCATCCTTCCTTCCCTCCGTCCTTCCAGCCATTCTTGCCTCCCGTTGAGCGCTAAAAACTCCTCCTCTGGCACAGGCAGTTGGACTCATCAGTCTCTGTGGAGAGAATTGTACCACGCTGGAAACATGGAGAGGATGAGTAAGTACTAGGAATGGAGACGAGGAAGAGGATGAGGGTAGTAGTGAGGATGGATGGATGGATGGATGGATGGATAGATGGATGGATGGATGGATGGATGGATGGATGGATGGATGAATGGATGGATGGTCGGTCAAGGCATGGCAATAGTAATATAGGAAAAGGGGTGTGTTTGTGTTTTTGCCTGGCTGTGGAGGAGAGAGGGAGGAAAAATTGGGAAAGTAAAGAGAGGCAGAAATAGATAGAAGAAGAAAAACAAGAAGAGGAGAGGAGAGAAGAGAAGAAGGGGCAGATAGGCTGGGGGAGACTCTGTGTTAGACCTGGACCCAGATCAGTCTTCTGTATTAACACATGCACAGACTCAGACGAACAAACATACTTAAAACGTCTGCTTATCTACACACACACACACACCCACACACACACACTCCATCCGTCCTTCTCCATCACCCTCACTGTCTCCTTCTGTGTATTCTGGTGTACAATATGTGTGTGTTGTGGGGGGTTGGGCTTTGTTATTGTGAATGGGATTACTCCACATCAACAACAGCCTGGGTTTGTCAGCGGAGGAGCTCCGCTGCTCCTCTCTGGGCTCCACAGCCGTGGATTAGCTTCAACCTGTGTTTTAGCCAGAGAGGTTTGACCCAGGATTAGAGTGGGGTCAGCCGCTGACTGTGACACGCTGTCACTCTGTGGTTTCATTTGTTTTGGACACCAGGCTGTCCGCCCACGGTCATTCACAGAGTGTGTATTTGAAGCGGACTTTTTCTGGGAGGAAAAAAAAACGTTAGTGCTGATTCTTTCAGTGATATTTGTTTTTTTTATTTGACCGAGTGATTTTCAGCTTGGATGAAAATGATTGAAATCATTTGTTGTTAAATATATCTCACATTTCTAGCTGGATTTGCTAGTATTTTGATCAGTAATTTATTAGCTATCAAAGAAGATAAACACTGGATATAAACAGTTGTTGCCGAGTTAGAATAAAGGTTTTGTGTATCTCCTAATACACATGATGTTCGGCCCATACTGTGGGCTGTGTGGTAGGTTCTATAAGCAGGTTCTATGTGGCTCAGTGGAGCAAAAAAAAAAACATTACAGTGTTTTCTTTTAAAGGTCAGATTATAATGTTATATCTTCTCCTGTGTATGGGTATGGGTTTTTTTGATAAACTGATGTGGTTGAGGTGGAGTGGTTGTGGAGCAACATATATATATATAGATAGATATATAGATATATAGATATATAGTTCATCTCAGGAATTCGTTGTGGAGAGAAAAAGCTGAGGGAAACAAGATCTCTTGGTAAAGTTGATACGGTCTGTGTTTTTTAGTTTAGAATTATTGAATGAACTCCGGGCTACTGTGTTAGTTCACAGTCATTTCTACAGTTTAGTCAAATATTTATCTCAAAATACATTTTTTAAAACAAAAATGATATTCCATATATGTAGTAGAATAATATGTGAATCTCCATAGCCTTTTTCCATTATAGTATTCCAAAATAATAATAATAATAATCAACTATGCAAAGCAAATGTGAACATAATTTGATCCAATAATTTTTGGGACTCTGGGACTGACACCTGGTTTTGCTGAGACCGTGTTGAATCAACCACAACACCCTGCAGGAGGGCAGTAGTGTAACTGGAGTTTTTCTCAGTCCAGTTTCAGGCTCTGTGAGTAAATATATTGTGTAATGCATACCTTGCTCTACGAGAAGGTTGACGGCAAAAACCTGCAGAGTGTGAGACTTTATTAGGACCAGAGTGTGTGTAAATACATACCCTGTACCACAGAAGTTTATTTGTGGTGTCGGCAAAAGGCTTTTGTTTATCCTTAGAATACCGACAAAGGTTGTATAAAACCACCAATAATCAGGGAACGGTGGAGCTGCTGGACGATCACTCCTCCTGAGGTAGTCAAACAAAAATAAGGAAAACACCATTTTTGTGTTGTGGTCGATGCTCAAACAAAGGTTGTTTTTTTAAGGAGTTAATCCTTTATGGGATTATTCTCAGGACA